AGTACGTCTATGTTAACTATTATTATTCATTTTTTTTTTTTTTAGTTTTAGTTATTTTAAAACTTCAAGTTAAACTAAATAAAAAAGAGAAATGTTTCCTTTTCAACTAGCTGAAATAAAATAATTTTTTGTAATTTTATTTCAGTTAATATTTATTTTATTTCAACTAACAAAAATGTTCTTTAATGGTTTTAGTTAACTGTAATAACTATGATATACATATGATTTATTTTTAGTATGTACATTTAGTTATTTATATTATTTATATTAAATTTATTATATTGTTGTATTGTATTATATTGTTTATATATATATATATAGAGTTATGTATTAACTCACTAGCTCACTAAACAAACATGTTGTTGCAGGTCAGAAACGGACACATAAAGCGCATCACAGACAATGACATCCAGTCTTTGGTTCTGGAGGTGGAGGGGACGAATGTGAGGTGAGTGTGTCCCCGACCCGTCCATCTTTCTGACACTGAACACACACACATCATGATCAGACCTGACCCCCCTCGGCATCAAACTGCCCTTCCTCGTCATGATCATCAAGAACCTCAAGAAGTATTTCACGTTCGAAGTTCAGGTAGAGAACTGGTTTCTTCAGACAATTCAGAGATGATTAGCCATGTCAGAAATGTGTGAATGTGTGATGCGCTTCAGGTACTGGACGATAAGAACGTGCGGCGGAGGTTCAGGGCGAGTAACTATCAGAGCACGACCCGCGTGAAGCCCTTCATCTGCACGATGCCCATGCGGCTGGACGACGGCTGGAATCAGATCCAGTTCAACCTGTCAGATTTCACACGCCGAGCGTACGGCACCAACTACATCGAGACGCTGAGAGTGCAGGTGAGAGACTGATCCAACCCATTTCACCAGGTTATTTTTAAGTTATATTTAGGTTATTAGGTTTTTTAACTATTCCTAGAACATGTCTTAAAGGGGTAAAAAACTGTCGTCCATAAAATGCGTTGCACAAATTCGAACATCTGGGTCTCCCTGACATGACATGCATCAACACTACTGCTGTTCCTGAAACCACGCCTTCTTTCTTTGCGTGAACATTTGGGCGGCGTTATGCAAATCTTCCCACATCGTGACGTAGGTATGTGGGGGCGTGTTAGAACGAGCCGTTTTAGGTAGGCGTAGCTGACTCTTAACTTTTATAAAGAATATCTCTTTGGATTTGAGACTTTAGTCTTTGCAACTTTACAGATCTTCTTTATGCACCAAGAGCTTGTAACACTCCAAAGAGAAAGGAAAAATTTAAATCGCATCATATGACCCCTTTAAGACAAGAGGTGACGTGCTTTTTGTGTTGTGGCTCCAAGGCTCCGGAACTCACTTCCTTTAACTTTGAGAGCTATGGGTTCTGTAGAATCTTTTAAAAAACACTTAAAGACATCTTTTTGGACAAGCTTTTAATTAGCGATATGGTTTTGCTGGTATTGAATTTTGTGGTATTTGTACAGCTGGTATTTAATTTGTTTGATTTTATTTATTTTTTACTGTAAAGCACTTTGTGACTCCTCCTTGTCTGTGAAAGGTGCTTTATAAAAACATTTTACTACTTACTAATTTTACCCCAAAATCAAGAGGAAAAATATAAGAAAATCTATTTTACATAAAGAGTCCTATTTTGGGACTAACACAGTTATTAGAACCATTATATTTTCATGACAGTTAAGCCTAGATGTGCTCAATTGCTACTTTTAATGGCTGATTTATTGTTTATGGCACTGGTAATTCAGGGTTGTTATAGTTAACCAAATCAAAACTAAAAACCATAAAAACATGTTTGTTACTGAAACATATACGTTAACTAAAATAAAATGTATAAAAACTTTTTTTCAGATAGTTTCCAAAAGCAACTTATAACTACAACCAAAATAACTAGAACTTAAACTAAAAATTAATTAAATAAAAAAATAGTAAAAATTAATTTTAAAAATCTATATAAACATTAAAAAAGATTTTAACTAAAATGAAAATGGAAAATATAAAAATAAAAACTAATTAAAAAATATCTCAATAATACTTAACACTGCAGACAGTAAAAAAAAAAAATGGTAATACAATATAATAAAATGTAAACATAATATAATATTTATGTAAGCATAAATTAAGCAGCAGAACATGATACAACATTTGTTTACGACATAATTTCTTTGTATTACAGTTGACTTAAGTGTTTTGAAAATAAAATAATTTATATAAATTTAAAATGTATCTATATTTATATATAAATAAAATAATAGGAACCTTAAGTGCAGCAGAATTTTTTTTGTAACCTTGGCCAGATCTGTGCCTTGCCACAATTCTGTCTCTGTGCTCTTCAGGCAGTTCCTTTGACCTCGTGATTCTCATTTGCTCTGACATGCATTGTGAGCTGTAAGGTCTTATATAGACAGTTGTGTGGCTTTCCTAATCAAGTCCAATCAGTATAATCAAACAGAGCTGGACTCAAATGAAGGTGTAGATCCATCTCAAGGATGATCAGAAGAAATGGACAGCACGTGAGTTAAATATATGAGTGTCACAGCAAAGGGGGTGAATACTTAGGACCATGTGATATTTCAGTTTTTCTTTTTTAATAAATCTGCAAAAATGTCAACAATTCTGTGTTTTTCTGTCAATATGGCTGGCTGTGTGTACATTAATGAGGAAAAAAAATTAACTTAAATGATTTTAGCAAATGGCTGCAATATAACAGAGAGAGAAATATTTAAGGGGGTCTGAATACTTTCCGTACCCTCTGTATATATATATATATATGAAAGAATGAATAACAGTGCTTTTAAAATCTGCCAATACAAACATAATTTCTAATGTCAGCAAACCTTCATGATATAAGCTGTTATTAGAAATAGCTTGAAACTAAAGACTGTGATTCAGGTGTTTATGGGGTTTGTGATGGCCGTCCTCGTGTCTTTCAGATTCACGCAAACTGTCGCATTAGGAGGGTGTATTTCTCTGACCGGCTGTACTCTGAGGACGAGCTCCCCGCTGAATTTAAACTCTATTTACCAGTACAAAACAAAGCAAAGGTGAGCTTCATCATGCCTGCTCATGTGCAGAATCATATTTTGACATCGTTGTGTATTAATCTCGTGTATTTTCTCCACAGCAGTGACACAGCAGATGGGATTCCGTCATTTCCTCTCTTTGTTTTATCTGCACACGTTCATATTGGATGGATTTCTAGTGGCACTGTCTTTTTGTTGTTTTTCGGATCTATGTGATTGGTTTCCATCTGCTGAATAAATATTTTATATGCACAAAGTGAACCCCGATCTTTTTCTGATTATTTTACATTTACATTTATGCGTCAAAGCGACATACAAAAGGGGAACAAAGCAATTTTCTCTAGATATTGTCACATCATATTTCATACACAACTAGATATGCTGATGTTTGAAAAGATTTAATAAACTGGAACATGAGCTGCCAAAACCGTACAGGGAAAACGTAACGTGTCTTCAGTTACAAACATTGGCTTTCACAGGAAAAATCTGCTGGTTATTAAATCGTATCTGTCAAATGTTTTGTAGAAAGGTACTTCAAATGTAATTAAAAAACTCTTCAAACAAATCCATCACGCCTGATTGCAGCAGTTACAATGGAATAAAGTACATTTACATCTTAGTATTATCATAAGCATGGTAAATTGAGATCCAAAAAAAACTAACACACACAAATAATGGGACCAAGCACCGCAGCAGTCTAAATGTTTTAACCAGATGCCAACAGAATAATTATTTCTGTATAATCTCTTCACAGTATATGAGAATATATATATATATATTTGACCAATCAGGATGCACCAAAGGTCTGGTACCAAGTTTTAAGTCAAATATTTGGCAAAATACAGCCTCGCTTCTTATTTGGTGTCCATTATTTGCGGTTGGTTTGGTATATAAAAATCTCAGTAGTCTCAGGACTATTCCCCTGAAAAAACAAAGTGATGAAGTTCAGAATAAAGGTCTGTTCACACACCAACAACTATAACTACATCAGTGCACTCTAAAAAATGCTGGGTTGTTTCAACCCAACTTTGGGTTAAATTTTTACATTACATTTTTAACCCAACGGTTGGGTTAGTCCATATTTGACCCAAAGTTGGGTTGAAACAACCCAGCATTTTTTAGAGTGTGTCCACGCAAACAGACCATAACATCATCTGCCGCTTTAAATGTTTGCAGTCGTTCAAGTTAGGATGGATTCTGATAGGCTGTGATTGTTTCAACGATATCGTTCCTTACATCTTTCTTGGCCCTATTGGTGCTTGAATCCCATTAAATCCCATTTAAATAACACTGCTGGCAATTTAAATGGCACAACATAAAATTTTGGCTTTAACTATTTCACAGATTCATGTACAATGTTGATATAATGTATTTATACGTCTCTTTTCAGAAACTAAAATTGATCAGCAAGTATTGAAATCAACATAAAAGCAGTTACATTCTTCAAATCAGCCTTTAAAAGGTTGACAAACGTCATGCATTTCTGAATAAAGTGCAAAAACTCACAGATTCAGTCAATCACACCACCAAAGCAACAGCACAAAGAACAAAAAAAAAGATTACATTTAAATTACAGACACAAATGAGTTCCCTTCTGAAATGCATTTGGAAAAATACAAACACTTTCGATTTTGCGCCTCTTTGAATTGATCATCACGGTATGAAAATGTCAAGTATGAAACATTAGTGAGAAGGCATTGCAATGATGTGCTGCTTTGGCCCGGCAGTGTTAACATTAGATTGCACGTTATAAAACACACCTGCTCGAGTCTTTCGGATCACATTTGATTTGGGCTGAAGTCTGTTAAAAATCAAATATTTCCCTTCTAAATTTTGCATTGTTTTTACATTCAACATCTCGGTTATTGCAGATATGGTTTTGTCATGCCGCGACTCCCTCCGCTGCACTCCCATAATGCAGCACGTAATAGTCTTCTGAGAAAAAAAGTCAGAATTGCGAGATATAAACTCAGAATTCTGACTTTTTTTTCTCGCAATTGCAAGTTAACCTCTCTCAATTTTTCAGAAATGTGAGAAAAAAGTCCACTCACGGTCTCCAAACTGCATGAGCTCAGCTACGAAGTTCATAGAGGAGTGGAAATACCAATAGAAAAAGATGAGCCAGATAAAATGATTGGGCACCTGTAGAGGGACAGGGAGAAGGGGAGGGGCTTGTGCCATTAGACACTCTGAGGAGGAGGGGCCACAGATATGACATCAACCAAAACGACAGCAGCTGTTACCATGCGAAATTCAAGCAGTCTGGAATTCTTAATTCTGATTGGTCAATCATGGCATTCAGCATTTAAATATTTTGTATAATGCTAAACTGTATAATTCTGTTTTAATGAAATACAACAATTTACAATATTTTTTGTCCATTTATTTTTGATTTCTATGATAACGACTGGCTGCCTCTACAGAATCCTCTTCATATTGTTTAAAGGGGTCATATGACGCGATTTCAAGTTTTCTTTTCTCTTTGGAGCCAATCCCAACGCACTGGATAGCTGGCCAATCAGAGCACACCTCGCTTTTCAGACCGATGAGCTTTGTAAAAATCGACGCGTTTCAGAAAGGCGGGGCATAGAGGAGAAACAATAATGTACAGTATGTGGAAAATAATGTGTTTTTTGAACCTTAAACCGCATAAACACATTGCATTACACCAAATACACAAAATAATGTTCTTTTTAGCAACGTCATATGATCCCTTTAATGATGACTGTACTGAGCTGATCAGCTACAGGGAAAACTTTAAGTGAATTTGCCTGGATTTCACACCATAGCAACAGCAAGTGCCACAGTGAAAGCTATAGCAACAGCAGCCATATCAACAGCACCTGCAAAAGCTCTAGCAACAAAAGTCCATCCATGACAACAACAGCATCTGTTTGCATTGGTTTCTCTGGACACTTACAGCGAGCTTCAGCAGACGTTCAACGATTCTAGTGAAATCCATGTCCTGTTTAAAGAGACAGAGACTATATGTTCAATCAACGCATAAAAATAAAAAATTGATAAAAACAACATGTTAAAGAAGTATTTCTGTATGCCTAACCAGTACAAAGTATTCAAACCCTGGACAATTTAAATGCATTTTTCTGTCATCTGATTGATAGTTTATACATCTTTTAGCATCTTTATACAAATGTCCATCTTCAGCTCGTGCTTCACAGGTCTTCTTGCTTTGAAATCTTTACTGATTTTTATAAAGTAAACATAAGAACAACTTTTAAATTGTTAGTAACATTTCAAGACAAATACTTACTGGACTGAAGATTTACTTAGATTTACTACATCATTTATGAGAAAAATCATGTTCAAATGTGAGTCAAATATGATCATCAGGCTTTTGAGGAATGTTTATTTGTTCGTCTCTCAACCATAATTGTATTGCATTGCACATATGGTTTGATCATAACAGTAAGCATTTAAATCTCATCTTATAAGACATTACCGACAAATGTAGAGTGACAGCTGGTATTTATATTATTTTATAGTCAGTAGTCTGGCATATTTTTGCTCAGTTTGAGTTTTGAATAAAACTGAGGTATTTTTTCTCTCCATATTCTCACTATATCATACTATATGAGCCATAAAATCCTGATGTATCAGATGTGATACTAAACAAAAACACATATGTGACCCTGGAGCACAAAAGCAGTCTTAAGTCGCTGGGGTATATTTGTAGCAATAGCCAAAAATACATTGTATGGGTCAAAATTATAGATTTTTCTTTTATGCCAAAAATCATTAGGATATTAAGTAAATATCATGTTCCATGAAGATATTGCATTGCTAAGGACTTCATTTGAACAACTTTAAAGGCGATTTTCTCAATATTTAGATTTTTTTGCACCCTCAGATTCCAGATTTTCAAATAGTTGTATCTCGACCAAATATTGTCCGATCCTAACAAACCATACATCAATGGAAAGATTATTTATTCAGATGATATATAAATCTCAATTTCGAAAATCTGACCCTTATGACTGGTTTTGTGGTCCAGGGTCACATATGCAAACTCTTTTTTTTTTTGTATTTTGTCTAAAGGTTCAATAAACTGTTCCTTTATGAAATTGGATTTTTCGGACTATTATTTTATATGTCAGACTTTACAGCGCGATTCTACCTGAAAGGGTTTCATTGAGTTCTGAATCGTCGGAACCATCCACTATTAAAAGAAAAAAAAAAAAGAGTCATTAAAAACATCATGTCATACACACACAAATAAGCTCAATTAAAACTACTCTTTGCATACCTGCTGTATTAATCCGAGCATCAACTGCATTAAAAACACCTGCAAGAAAGAAAAACAGGTATAACATTATCAGAAAGTGCAAACTGTAAACATGAGTTTCTGCGGTCACATGCTGTCTCTCACCATCTCAAGCAGTCGGCGCAGTAAGAAACGCTTCCGTATCCGTGGAGAGCGCGGGAAGTTCAGCTCGTAACACAGAGTTGGAACGAAAATAAAATAATAAATGTCTGTAACAAAATAATAAAATAAATGTAAAAAAATAAAAAATTAGTTATTAATTCCATTTAAATATTTGAATTTATATTTTAATTACAAGCAAGCTGATATTCCTTATTAAACAGGTTGAGTTGTTGTGTAGTGACTGACCTCTGTGTGTGAGGTTTGCTGGATAGCTCACGTGTGTGTATCCGGTCGTGCCGTTGGCTTTGTGCACAGACGGGCCTACGGGAGAAAAATGAAACATTAACACACACTGAATTCATTCAGATATTCTCTGCCAGGAGACCAAACACAACAATCTGTGTTGCTAGGCAGTTCATAGCTCACACTTTTTTTTTTTTTTTTAAACGATATTGATGGTAAAGTTTGCATTAAATGTGCTGTTGTTCTTTGTCCAGCATGCATGTGGCAGTACAGCACAGCGTTAGTGCTCACGCAAACAGAAACAGTGCAATGCCTCTCACATCTCAGTCTGTTTGTACAGATTCAGACAAACACTGAGAGCCCTTCACAGCAAACAACAGATGAGAAAATACAGGCTTTATGAACCGCAGGTGCTACAGGAGGACAAGCGGCAGGTATTACTGGTGCAAAATAAACAATTCAATGCAAATCAAAACAATGCATTCATACGGAGAGGAATATAATGTAATGTTAGCTCTAATGCATTCCATACTTGCATTAAGATTTGTGCAATGATGCGTTTCACAACAGAGACTGTGTATCTAGAAGCATTTGCCTTCATGCACATATGCATGTGAATATTAGAATTTGCTTGATGTCTGATAAGAATGCATGATGAAAATGTGAGTTTTTGGTGAGGTTGTGTTACTCACAGGAGTGAGAGCGGGACAGGGTTCGGGCTTTGGCGTGTCTGATCTCTCTGCACCATTTGTTGACGTCTCTGTATGAATACAGCTTCAGGAAGAGAATGGTGAAGACACTCAACGCCAGAACACCACCCACTGAAACACAGCCACGAGACAGCATGATTACTCACACAACAATATATTTCCAACATGCCAACAAGGATTACATAAAAAAACAAACATCATTTTCTAGTTAAACCCACAACCAAATCACATGGTCACAAGGTAAAAAATGCCACTGGTAGAGGTTTTGGTAGTTAATGCACGAGAAACAACGTTTTCCTGTAAGACCGAAGGTTGAAGGTGTTAGTGTGAACATCTGAACACAGGTGGAAGATGTCTGTGATACCTGGGGTTATAGAGGTCAGGCTGAGAACTGTACCGGCCGGGACAAATAACAGAGCTGCAAGATTGATGCCATGAAGGAATGTTCCGGTGCCCTCTGAGATGCTGCCCTGGAAATTCAATTACATGACTATTAAAACAAACCAGCAATGAGAAGCACTTGCGCTAACAGATATACATTTAACCTGCAATAAATAATCAAATCCAGGTCTAGGTCATATTTCATCCCCACTACAAATGTATATTATAAATTTAAAATAAATAAATGTGAAAAATGTTATGTGAAATTAAATATTATTATTAAAATGTTTTTTTTAATATATATTTTCGTTTTTTTCATATATTTTTTACATTTTGTTGTGTTTTTGTCCGATTTATTAGTTATATATATATTTCATAGATTTTGTATTTGTATTTGATAAAATATTTGTATTTTATATAATATATAATAATAATAATCTCATTTTATATTGTAGATTTTACATTTATATTCTATCATCGTTTAATTTTAGTTAAGGTTTTAGTAATTAAGTGTTTTGTCATTTTCAGTATTTTTTTTATTATTACTGTTATTTTTTGTTTTTAATATGTCTATATGGTTTTTTTAATTAAGTTTTAGTTTTTATTTGTACTTTATATAGTTTTAGCTATATTTAGAATTTAACTTAAATTAAACGAAAATGATAAATGTTGCAAAACATACTTACATAGCTCAAATAAAATAAGTTTTTTATATTTTATTTTTTGTTATTGTTTATTCACAAATAACAAATATTTTATAATTTATATAATTTGTCACATTTTTTTTTTTTTTGCATTACAGTAATGAGAATGGGATATTTTCACATAGCAATAATAAGAATTGGGAAAAAATGTGCTTAACTGTCATGTGAATAATGACACAATGCAAAGAAAACCTTAAAAGTTAAAAAGAAAAAGCTTTGTTTTATAAAAAAAAATTTGTTTTTAATTTTGAGGTAAAATGTGATCTGGACATGATTTTGTCTGGATTGTGAGATTCACTCTTCGTGTATCGGTTATATGTAATAGTTTAATCGGTTTTATTTGTAAGTCCATGTCTGTAATCACACAGTTCATTCCCAGCATGCAACTCACCACGGATAGCTTTCTCTCTATGTACAAAGCTGCCATTATAAAGCCATTGGAAACTGCAAAAGCAAACAGATTAGACATGGCATATTGAAGTGAGCATGCATGGAATATTGACGTGGATTTTTATGATCTTACATTATGCATGACAGAAAGTGTAAATGTGGTGTGAAATTATGTCTTCAGCTTGAGCTAATCTGCATGAATCTGCTGTCGGTCACAAAGCACACACTCATCATACCAATGATCAGGCACAGAGCCGGCCAGCTGTACGGGTCCTTCAGGAAGAGAGAGATGATCTGGATGGGGTCCACCAGAATGCCATATCTGAAGACAAGAGGAGATAATGTCATTTAGATGTATTTCTAATGAGAAACCTCACATTTTAATGTGTTAAGTAAACATTACCTTCAATTTTTCATCATACTGTATATACATATATAAATTCATGTATATAAATAAATAATTTTATGAACATAATTTGTTGATTTAAACCAATAATATTATGTATGCATGTATATAAATGTATGTATATATAATTTATAGAAATTTATAATATAATTTATATATTTTATTATATAATTTAGAATAATTTTTAGTATATAAAATCATTACATATATTTATAATAATTGTATAATTTTATTTATAATAAATGATACATTTATATAATAAAAATATAATAAATAATACATTTTAATATTTATAATAATTTATAATAATTACATAGTACATTCAATCATTATATAGAGAAAGAGAAAGATTTTTTCATTGACATATATGTAGACAGACAGACAGACAGATAGATAGATAGATAGATAGATAGATA